TTCCTTCACTTCTGAGTCACCTGTTAACATAGCTCACTATTACCTTTTTTGCAACTAAATTACACTGTTGACTCATATTAGGCTTGCAGTCCACTATAACCACCAAGTCCTCTTCCATTTTAGGAATTTCTAATGAAACCTGCCATAAAATCAGAGGCATTATTTTATTTTTCTGAAATGGGATCCATAACATTAGGCAACCAAAAAGCTTTGAGAAGTCCTGAATTAGAGCTGGTTAATTTTTTTCCAAAGTTGTAATTTTTCCTAAACAATCCCATCCCACCTCCACCCCACAACCGGAACCCACCCCAGTTTGGAGGAAGCATAACATTTCATGAAAAGTATAAGCAATGTATTTTCTGCCAAAGACCTTTATTTTTTTTGTATTTAACCTATTTTCAGCTTAAATATTTTGGGATTTGGTTGCCAATATATTTCAGTTCTCTGTTGCCAGCAACCAAAAAAAAAAAAAAATAAATAAATAAAAAAATAAAGTTTTCATGTTTTTAATGAAGTCAAAATTTGCCAGCAGGGCAGGAGTAGGAGGAGAACTGAAATCAAAATATCATCTGATCAGCTCCAGGGCTGAGAACTTGATTCTCTCAGTGATTTTCCCTGGAGGCACAGAAGCTCTGCTCTTTGAATATCTGGCTCCCTTTCTACAGCTCGCTTAATTTAGTTGACTTTAGGGCCTTGATGTGGGGGGAGGGGGGGCCAACCGTTAGCAATGTGAGGGTCAACCATTTTGGCAGGCATATGGCAAATTAACTATGCACACTCCCAGGGTGCCACACCAACCTCCTTCCCCTGCCTGATCTGTTGCTATGCTTTCTGCTTCATGCGCTCTCTGCTGCTGTGCTGCTACCCATGTCATTTGTGGAATGCATGCCGTAGGCTGGCCACCCTTAATTTAGAAGATGAATTTGTAAGAATAAACTTAACATCTCATGACATGCACTCTTACTGCATCTTGTGAGTACATGTCATCCATAAAACTAAACTGGGCATTCTGACATGAAGAACAATGGTAAGAGGTACTTAAGGTACAGAAACCTAGCTGACCAAATCAGTCATATTAACACATTCTTCACAGGATCACTATTGTGGCAAATACTTAAAGACAACAGCCATTTTCATACTAGAGCGTCTTGTAGCATTAATACTTCCGCATGATCAATAACTGCAGCGTGTTGTGTGGCTTGCAGAATCATACTGGAGTAGGAGGTTCATGACTGGCATACCAGTTCCAAGAGCCATTTTGGAGAGGCACAAGAACAGGAGCTACTGCTAATGAATCATCACCACTTCCCACCCCCTGCCACTGCTTCCACCATCAGCTAGGATGGAGACCCAGGTAGTTACACCTCTTGTAGTTTCTAATAATAAACCAATTATATAGGAACAAATAACACTGTACTTGAAATATCAGGTCTGTAAGGGTACATACAATGGTTATGTTTAGATCAGGGGTGGGGAATTATTCCAGGCGGAGGGCCACTTACTGAGTTTGGCAAGCCATTGAGGACTACAAGGGTAGACCCACCCCTTGAGAAGTGCCCCGCCCCCTGGTCACCATCATGGGACTGTACGTCCCACCCCCTAACCCCTGACTTTTGCCAATGGAAGTTCCTCCCCTTGACCCCACCCTCCGAAGTACTCCTTTTAGCAAAGGTTCTACATCTTGAAATCAGAAAAATACCAAATTATATTCTAAAAATCAAACATCTACTATAAAATTCATTAATTTGATTTCAAAAAGTATTTTTGCCCTGATGTACATGCTTTTCTGTAGTGTACATAGAGGGGACTGCACAATAGCTGAAGATGAAGACTTACTCTTGTACATTGTGAGGGGGGTATAGGTTTATGGGTGTGTGGTGGGTGTGTGGGGGGGTTTGGGGCGAATAGGTGTGGGGGTGTGGGTGTGAGGTGAGGAAGCATGTGGGTATGTGCATGGATATGTGGGGTGTGGGTGAGTAAGGGGTTTGTGGGGGGTCTGTGAGTGTGTGGGGGGGAGGTTGTGGCATGTGTAGAAGGGAAGGTTTTGCCTACAGCTCCACCTCAACAGGCAGATCCCTCCCCCCCTCCCCCCCAGCACTCCTCCAAGCCCCGGCTCTGCGCTTCTGCCTCTCCTGCCCCCAGGGCACCAAGGCAACCCCATGCTGCTGCTCACCACCACTGCCCTTCTGCCACTTCCCCATCTCTCCCCCTGACTCACTGCTCTGACACCACATCCCAGTGCATGGTGGAGACCGCAGGATGCAGCAGGAGCTGGACCGGCCCAGCCAGCACCACACAGGGCCAGCCAAGAATCATAGGGCCCAGCCAACTCCTGCTGCATTCTGTGCCTGAGCAACCAGCAGGGGGTGGAGAGGAGCAGTGGAAGCGGTGGGCAAATGGCTGTGGTGGAGGGCGTCGAGTGGGAGTAAGTGGGTGTGTCAGTGGGAGCATAGAGACAGCTGGGCAGGACTGGGCAGTAGGAGCATGGGGTGCAGGCCAGCAGGGGCTCTATGGAGCCAGGCTGGGCTATGCCAGCAGGGAGAGGGAGAGCCGGCCTGGCTCCAGATCCCCTGCCAGCCTGGGCTCCGTACTCCTGCTGCCCTGCTCTGGGCCTTGCGACCCTGGCCCCAGCACACCAGCACAGTCTGTGCTCTGCGTGACCACACACTGCCCCTTACCCCCCTGCCTGCTACTACTTTCACAACTTCCCTGCCTACAGCTGCCACTGCTGCTCCACCCCACACTGGGCACTCTGGCACTATGACTCCCAGCTGCAGTGCTGGGACTGCAGCATCCAGCTTGGCCTGACCCTGAGGAATGGGACAATTGCCCGCAGTCCTCCTCTGCCTCCTCCCTACCTTCTTATCTAAACTTCTTTCCAATGCAGGGAGGCAGGACCAGCCCAACAGTCCCAGGCCAGAAGCCTCTGCTCCACACAGGTCCTCTGGTTGGGGGTGAAGCTGGCCAGACCTTGCTTCTGCAACTGCTTGATCCTGCTGGTGAGTCTCCTTGGGTCCTACTACTGCCCCTGGCTCCTTTCATCTTTGACAGGCAGCCAGGGGCAGATAAATATTAATTTTCTACATTTTTTAAGGGCCTAGCAAGTGCAATAGAGTGGCCTGGCAGGCCAGATGCTGCCTGCAGGTCATATTTTGCCCACCCCTGATTTAGACGGACCTAACTAGGGATAGATTGATTTAAATTTCCATTCATGCAGACATTCAAGGGGTTTAAAATCAGCCCCAAAATGGTAGGCCCCAATCTAAATTAGATTACCTGAGCAGGTAAACAAACTTAGACTGGGAATGAGTTAACCTGATGCAACAAAGGTCTGCACATATTAGGAAGGCAGCCCAGTTGCTCACCTCATTGAACAGGCTGTGCTCTTACTACCCCCACTCCTGGTCAGGATAGTTTCTAGCCCCCTGATCCTCCAGACAAACACGCCCTGTGTACTCACCAACCCCATCCCTGCAGACCTGCCAGTGCCTCGCCCCCAATCCTGCCAACTTAATCCACCAGCTCATTCTGTGGACCGCCCTTCCCCCCAACCCCTGATACTGCCCCCTGCTTTTCCTCATCCTGGGTTACTTACACCAGGTTCCCTGCACAGATCAAAGCACCAATGAATGCCTGTTCACACTACTGGTTTACAATCATGCAGCTTTAAAGCCACTCTCGTGATCACAGACCATATGTGGTGAATGTTTGTGTGAACCTTAAGTGTGCCTTTGAATTAGCATCATAATTTTAAACCCTTCACACTGTCAACCATTTACTCACATAGGAATGCTACTGAGTTAGTTTTGTTTAATAAGTTTCAATTTGATTCCCTTTAAAGTCAAAGAGTCTTTGTGAGGAAAGTGAACAGCCTGTATGGAGGATGGAATAAATTCAGAATTTCACAGTAAGTGGAAAATATTTTACAAAACCAAAAAGGTTTTAATACATTCTCGACATCTTGTATGTTCATAATCTATTTAAAGTGTATAGTTGGTGGAAGACCAAATGAAATGTACTTAACGTTAGATATTCAAAATAGAAAAATACATTTCAAAATTTAATCATTAGATTTTGAAACATTAGAAAGGAAAGTTTAGTAGTATGAAATTTAGGTGAGGAAGACCTTTCTATTTTTCAGTAGAAGAATGTTCCACAGTTCTGCAAAATTCACTGAATGCAAGCAAATTATTTAAAAAATGAAAGATGAGTGAGGAGTATGCAGCGTATATTATGTATAAAACTGTCAAACACTACAGCAATCAGATCTAAATTTTCTGTTCACTTGATCTTTAGGGTAACATAGCAACCACATCTTTGCCATAAAATAAGACATCTGCCACCATCAACAAATTTGTATCATTCTTTAGATGCATATCCATAAATGGAATTAGCGAAAACATGTTTTCAGAGTTCATACAAGAGTTAAGCCCTGAAAAACTTTAACCGATTCAAATTCTTTGAAACAAGCCCAAACCAAATACATAAAAAAGAAAGTCTGGGGGCAGGGGGAAAGGAAAAGTTTTTGAACTGTTGTTGGACCATGTTCTAGCATGCTACTGGAAACCATTTCTAACAGTATACATGGTGATGTACTGTACATACAGTCTACACTATGCTACATCATAAAAAAGAAAGAAAATCTAATAACATTTTAACACTGGTTATTATACAACTGATTTTGCAGCTGGGGTTGCCATGTCCTCTCATTCTGGGATTCTGGCATTGACTTGGATATAGCAGTGTTTCTTATTTTCACTTTTCTATTATTTGATATACCTGTATTAAAAATAGGGAATGGCAGAAGTTATTAATATGGTTGCCTTATTCTTTCCATTATGACACTGTTTTCAGCTGCTTACAGTTTTGTCAGACTTTAACCATATCCCACATGAGTTTCTGCCTTTAAAAACAAACTCCCCCTCCCCAACAGCCAAAATGACAACATAATTTCTGAAAATGAGGGATGAAAGATGAATGCATTATTTTACTTACGTTAAAAATGTTGTTGGTGAAAATCCACCTAAATTTGACCAAGTAACAAGTCTCTGAAGTAATCAAAAAAGTCAGTTTGCACATACTCATTAGACATTTATTTTTTTTAATGCCTTTAAAATTCCATCCATCAATGTTGTCAACTCTTCTGTCTGTAAGATAAGATACCTCAGGGTAGATTTTTTTTTGCTTCACTACATCCTAGGAAATTGTACTATATGCTAAACTGTATTATATGCTAAAAGAATAATTCAGTTGTAGAATCAAGAATTCAAACATTAGTTAGAAAAGACCATAAATAATATGGTCTGTATGCTTAAAGATACAGTCTTTAATTATATTATTACACATACTTTACCTACCCCTGCCTTTTCCATTGGACTGCTTGTTATTCTCGTTATTCCTCATGTATTATAAAAGCTGAAAGGTATATGAGGCAGAGGGTAACAGAAGGAGAAAGGATGGTACATAAACTGCTGCAAAGAGTAGAAAAGCTTTTTAGTTTAAATTTGGAACAGGACCTGAACATGGTTTTTTTTGGAGAATTTCAGTCAGGTGGGTTTTGCTTTGGGTCAGTCAAAACGTTTGATATTTTTTCTTCAGCTTTTTATCATATGATAGTAATACATTATACAATTTTCAAAATGAAGATAACGTCTAAAAAGAAAAGAAATAAACTAACTTTTTGTTCTGCTAGTGTCATAACACATAACAGGATGTGTTACTGAAAACGTTTTCCTCATCAATTCCTCCAGTTAAAAGATTTTGGTCAAATGGGGATGATTTCATGCTGTAACTTACTTTCAGCAGATCTGCATTTTCAAGTAGGTAATGCTCTCAAAACTTTTCCAACTACTTGTGCCTTAGGCAGTTGGATCCAGCCCTGGAGAAGCAGATTCTCTCTTCCCTGTGTCATAGAATTCTTATGAGATGCTAGGTAAGTCACATAAACCAGATTTCTCCTAGGTCACGAAGTGTGTGCGCCTCAGTTCCTGGTTGTCCAATTACAATCCCTGGGATCCAAGTAGCAGCACTGAGCTCTAGAGACTTGTCATTCCTGTATTTCAAACATTTCAAGCAATATTCTATGTTACATTCTCTGAAAAATAAAACCGGGACTAAGTATTTCAAAATTTGGTTCTCTAAACTAATACATCCTCTTAACTTTAACATCTCCTTGCTCTAGTTGACAACAAACAAAATGGACTAGTAATATCCCTTATCAAACAAAAATATTGTGAAAAAGAAATATTTGCATACCTCACAAGTGACAAGTTTCATGGAAAAAGCCCACGATAAAATCAATAGATCTGTCTGCAGAGGAAATTTTAAAATAGTATACAGTAAAATATGGAATGGAGCTGCACAAGGAGGAGAATATGCTGAATAGATACTTCTTAGCCAGCAGAGCTGTCCAAAGCTGTCTGGCCTGTGTACCAAGACTAGGTACAGACATTCAAAAAGCTTAAGTTGGAATCAATCTAAGTTACATGGTTTTCTGTAAGCAGCCTAGTTTAGCACAGTAGTAAACAGAACACACATTTGCCCTTCAAGAGGGTGGGGAATCTTAGACTGGGTTCTGCCATTTTTAAATTAGTCTATGTGCATCTAACTTCTGTTCTGTTATAGGTATAAACTGGTATCTGATCACTTATACTGGTAAAAGTGCAATATCTGTACCTGGCCCACATTAAACAGAAGTCCTATGGAAAAATAGCATATGATCATATAATTAAAGACTACATCCCAATGCATATGCACAAGGAAAGGCTAATTAAAGTTGCATAAGCCAATTTATCTCTGCCATTCCTTCCCCTTGAGTGCTTGCTTTTGCAACTTTGTTCTTTTAACAGATTGTAAACAATATTGTATATAAAGGGTCAAACTAGCATTCGTTATTATTAGTGCAGCACACTGAATTCTATTGGCAGATGCAACTATTTTAGCACAGTGAGGATTTTACTTTTGTCAGTGTTACAAAAGACCTCTTGCACATGATCATTGGACAGGAAGATATACTGTTAGGGTCTTTTGTAGGATGTTTATTTATACATTGCAAAGAAGCACATTGGAAGGGGAAGATATCGATTTTACCTCTTCAGTTTTGCTTGCGTAATGTAAACTAGGTACAGGACAAGTGTTGAGTCAGGTCTCAGGATTACTTTTGTTCAATTGTACTACTCCCCCCGCCCCCAACAGTAGACTTTCCACATCTGTGCTAGGACTCAGAAGACTTACCCCAACAGTCATTATTCAGCCACTACCCATTCCTGCCAGTGCTCCTCCTTTCTTTTGACTATGAATTAATTTATGGGAATTATTTTTAACTCTGTTCACTCTGTTGCTCCTTAATATGCAAGGGTAGCTAGGTCTTTTCTATGTATTTGAACAAAGAGAGAAAACAGCAGTTTGTCCTTGCCAGCATCATAGGTGAAAGGGGAAGAATAACTGAACTAAATACAGATCTCCAATATGAGTGTTCAAGGCACCACTTTTGGCCACAGGGGTAGTTAGTTCCAGAGCATCATTTGTATATACATCAAGTATCCCAGGCTACCAGTATATTCGTTAGGTATTTGTCACTGAAAAGCTTTTACTACCTAGTTTTATCCAGGAAAAAAAAAAAAGTATTGGGGACTGTATTTTGGAGATCCCCTTCATTCTTTAATATTTTAGAACATGAAGATCAGATCTGGAGGATTCTCCCACATAAATTTTCTGAATCAAAGCCTCCAGTCTTTCCATCATAACTTTTCTAATTTAGTTGCTTTGTATATCTGATAGCAATGTATTTTCCTGCTAGAGTGGGCACACTGTCAGCAACCAACAATTATGCAAGTTTCCTGGCATTTCATTGTCTGACAGTTGGTTTGAAAACAGAAACTACTTTCACTAACTATACTGGCTATTAGAAACCTCATCTAATTCAAGGGCTAGACATAAATGAGCAATGCCCAGTGACCTAAATACCTCACATTTTATCACAAAGAATATTTCTGTTAGAAGCCAATATTCTTAGAAGTCATTTTAATATACTGGAAATCCAAAGAATGGAAGATAGGAACAAAAACAACATGGTTTAGTTAAAAGGCGTCCATCTGACTCTTTCCTACTTCTCCCCTCTTCTCCTTGACATCATCCCGAAAACCCCTAGGAACAATTAAAAATAGATATTACTCAGACTGAGTAACTGCTTTATGGAATGCCCAGAGAATCAGTTATGGATATGAAGTTCTTCCATAAAATAATCCTAATGGCAACTTAGTTTCTGCGGCTGACAGACCCTGGTAAGTTCCCTGGTCCTCCTACAGTATATCGGGTGATATTGTCAAGCTATGAAATAGATGGCATGTAATCAGCATTAACAGGGGATACTTTATTACATAAATGACTCAATCAATGGAAATTTTGCCAATGATTTCTGTGGAAGATAATGTGGCTTAAGCATGTGTGGGAAGGAATCTATTAAATTATTCTATTAAGCTACCCAACAAGAGACCCAATTACCAAGTATTACAAAATGGAGAAGGTACCTTCAATGCCTTTAAATTGGTGGAATTGCAAAGTAATTTTACATGAAATTGGAAGAGTTACAGATTTATATTGATATAACAGAACTGAATTTGACTACGGTTCTTTCCTTTGGATTGAAGAGCTATCGGGAATGGTGACCTGATGTTAAAAAAGCCAGAACTGAGGTCAGTGGTGGGATGGGCGAGGATGGGGTCAGTGTGGGTGAAAAAAATGATGGCCTCTTCTGTAGTTTAATTAATATGATCAATTTTGTTGTGTAACAATTTAAATAAATATTCTCTGTTTCGGGTTCCAAGTTTTCCTGTGGACTGCAGAAACTTCTTCATATCTATGGAAAATCATGGGCCAAAGCCAATGAAATCTGTTTACCAGTCAGTTTGTGAAGGTATGAGGCTTGTGCTATTAAGTATAAATGGCAATCCATGAGAAAAGAACTGATAGAAAAATTTTTCTATTGATGTGCCAAATTCTGAAAATATTCTATTTACAACGAGATGTTGCCAAGAGCTACAGCATACAAAGCAAGGTAATGGGCTGGGATAGACAAATCTTAGATACATGAAGGAAATTTTTCTTTTTAGTATTCTAGTTATAGTAAATTAAACAAAATTAAATAGGAAAAAAATGTCCAAGACAAAAAAAAAAAGAAGCTAAGATCATTCTGTATTTATTAACATGGGGAGTCAGAGAGAAGTAAATAGTAGTAATCCTCAAAGTGCTCACAAGTAAGGCAACATTTCTTTCTAGTATAGTGCAATATTCTTGAAATGGAATTAAATTCCACCTAGAGAGAGGGGTAGTTCAGTCTTTATGGTCATTAAATCCTTATATTTCCTTACACTTCCAACACTATTAACAGAGAATGATAAGAAGTTTCAGTGTGGGAATGAGCTCTCCATCAATGCCACTTGTAGAAATGCTACCCAATAGCATGCGAGAGTCCAGAACATTCAGCCCTCTATTCCACTGGGCTCTTCAATAACTGTCATCCTCCAACTCTTTTTTTTTTTTCCCCTTATGCAAAATCAAGTTGTCTGGTAATGAAATTCCAACACCAACATGCTAAAGAATGAAGATTCAGAAGAGAACAAGACAGATGGTTCTGGTGACATTGGAGAATGACTCCTTAAGGATCATAGACAGATGATAAACCTCAATACTCACACTGTTTTATAGATTAACAATGTATTTTATAGGTTAACATTCATGAGATTTCTGCTTTCACACAAGATCACCTCAAATGTTTTCAAGAGACTAGCAAGTGTTTATATTTCCAACTGTTCTCATATATTGACAACTTCAACGGTCAGTCTTCTTCTTCTCAACATGTACCTGCAACCTCATAGCAGGTCTAAAACTGCAGTGCCTTTATCATGGTGATTACACATATCATCATACTTCCTTTGCAACAGACCTGGTAACATATAAATCAGAGATTCCTTCGCAGATTATAAACATGAATGAAAATAACTGGAAATGTTTGGTGGAGAAATGATTTGGTGCATGACACTTCCATTGGTTTCACACCATCAACCCCCATACTCCATCAAGTTAGTTCATATCCTGATAGTTCTACCGAACTAATCATAAAACATGAGACAACCATAGAAGAATATTGATAAATGCTTAACTGATTTAGGAGCTATTGCTTAGTTACTTGTGACAATCTGATTACTCAGAACAATAAAATAATTTCCTTCCATTTCTGCTTTGCAAGGGCATACGCATATTTTTAGATATGGACCTCTTGAATAAGGAGGGTGTGTAAAGAGAAAAAGAAAAGAAAACCTAGGACAAGTATATTGTAAAATGAATGCAAGTTTAATGTTTGCATCTCTCACTAGATACTTGCAATAGTTGCTTTCCTATGCCATATCAGACAAATAGTTACACAGATAAAACAAATAGATTAGGCAGAAGCTAGCGTTTCATATAGAGGGAACCAGAAATTTTTGGCCTCACTCTAACCTGGCAAGGAAAGATTTTGTCTTGAAGTGGTTTTGAGAGATTTTTGCCATAAACAAAATGTAGTTTCAGCAGAAAAAAAAAATCTTTTTGCATTCAGTGTCAATATTTCCCCTCAAACTTCATCTTATTTTAATAATGTTCCAAAACCTCAAGAGTCCTAGTTCTATCCACCAAAAGAAAGATATGGACCGTATCATGCTACATTTAATACATTTCTTTTTAATCTAGCTTATCATTATTATTTAGCCAAAAGTGAAGGATGAGACAGAGGCACTGACAATAAAGAGGGCACTTGTTTTGTGGCTTTGAAAAATAGGTCTATTGAAAGGGAAATTGTAAAAAAAAACAAAAGGAAAGGAGATCAGTGCTGTATTAAACAAATTAAGATGCAAGATCATTGTAGTTCTGCACTGTGAATGACAACCTGCCCATAAAGCAAAACTTTGGAGTAACAACAGATAACTCAAAAGGCCGCATGAATATAGCCGCTCCTTTCAAGTTCTCCACTTTTGCCTGCTCCTCTTTTCCACACTCTCCAACACTCAACATTCTCTA